CATACCTGCTTTTTTTGCAGTCGAGAGGGCTGCCTGGTAAAGATAGGGGTTAGAGGAAGAAGTTCCTTGTGAAAGACCTCATGAATGGTTCACCTGATACACAGTGTCACCTTCCTACTTTATTGACGCATTGATACGATTCCATGATAGGTTCTGTTCTTTCGAGGGATTCAGCCATGCAGTTCCGAGAGTGGTTCCACGAGAGAAAATTCTTTCATATCTAGATTCCACGTTGTTCAACCAACCAGTATGGCGACACACGTGTCCGCCTCAACTCCGATCTTTAATACTTTTCTGAAGGAGTGATAACCTTCTCAATTTGAGCATTCGCAACGGTAATTGACTGACTGATAAGACCGCTCACTTCAAAGAGGACAGTTGGCGACCGAGTAACCGATTGTTATCTCACGCTTATCTAGACTGGTGGAATGAAAGAATACACCGCAACATGTGCTACTGGAGTTTCGCTTTCTTTTGTTATCGAATTTGGCTTGGGAGTGATGGGGGAGCTAACCATGAGAGTGCAATAATGATGCGGGCCACTTCCAGTTACCTCGTTAGAAGAAAGTTACTTTCCCCTTTTCGGAAGTGAACGCTTCAACTCCATTGTTTACTACTTTGTTTTGTTGCTTTTCTATGTTTCTGTTTTATGTACTGATAATTGAATGTTATAACAACTGACAACAAAGAAGTTAGTTTTAGGAGTCGGTGGAGTTGGACTTGTGACCGCAACTGCTTGACATAATCATTGAATTCACGTTCTCCACATAGTCTCCAGGAAACATGGCAGAAATCAATTTGGCACTCAAGATTCCGGTAATCAAGTAGACGATATTTATTCAGAAATAGTACACTGATCGTTCCCGTCCCCAGAATTCATGAAAATGAAAAAAAATTCTACCGGTAAAATAAGAACTGTTGATGGACCAAAAGCCCTCCGCCTAAGCGAAGTGTCCAATTCTCTGCTCAAATAGGTAAACAGGTAACCGGGGTCCACAAACCTATGGATCTGCCATTTTCGAAATGCCAGTTTCGAAAGTGTGACAGAAGCGGGTTTCAAGCATGTCGCCAAAGCCAATAAGGTCCATGCCAGGCCAAGTTGCCCGTGCCGTCTCTACAACCGACCCCTTTGAGGGGGTTCGGGCTTCCTCCTTTTTCCTGAGAGAGATCCCAGACCCACAGCCCTGTTTGTTATGTTCAAAGTTATACACGTTAACGTATTGAAATTTTCTGGCTCATACTTATTGTAGGATTTCAAACAGAAGATCTAAATATCCCAAAGAGGCTCTATCGTCTAATGAGACGGGCAGTTTTGCGATCTGAAGTTGCGGAGTAATTGTAGAGAATCTGTTCTTGGAAAAAAGGGTCTCTGAGGGAGAGTAGAGAGGAACACATGCTCCGAACTAGACAGATTTTTAATCCATGCAAGGTTTTATCTATATATATATTAATATCTCTATATATTCTCTATTCGCCTTAGAAAATTGCCGAAACCAACGTTTTTTGGCGTGCAAAATTCCTAGAAAGTATGCTCAATCTCCAATCTCTCTCTTTTCTGCTGTGTCTGTACGAGGAGGGTTTCATACATTTTTAATGTTGTTTTGAGGTTACCGGCCAGCAATTCGGCCAGGATGATATCGGCAGAAGACAGGACAAGGCGGTCGTCAAAGAAACCTGTGCGCCAGCTGTCAGGTGAAAACTTTTTCATTTTCCCCCCTCATATCGTTGCCACTGCTTGTCGTCAACTAATTTAGCGTTGCTCCTGGAAGGTTCTTAGGCGTTTTGCGCTGCAACCTAATCTTTTGTGACCATTCAGCTCGGCGTGATTAAAAAACTCATTCTAGCCTGGCTTTCCCAGTAGCACATCGCTGTGAGAGAATTTCCTTGCGCTATCTTGACCATGAATGGTATAATTGCCGTTTCACCATTGCTTGATAAACCCTCTTTTTTCAAGATTTTTTCAAGCATGTGAAAAGAGCACTTCGGACGATTTTTTCTTCGACTATAAATTGGGGCAATCCGCAATCGAAACAGCTCAACTCAACAAATTAACCACGGGTGTGGAGCCCAATAGTGCTAGAGAAAGCACTGTGCCGCAATGGCTCAACAAATGTCGTTCTGGAAATTTCAGCCTTGAAGGTGAGCCTCATAGCGGTCGACCTAAAGCAATATCTGACGAGGATTTTAGGGGGATTTTGAAGGTTGACCCATCCCAAACAGTTCGAGAGATAGCAGAAGAGCTAGGCCTTGGCAAATCCACTGTTGCAGATGGTCTGGAACGCATTGGGAAGGTGAAAAAAACTCGACAATTGGGTGCCCCACAAATCCGGAAGTAGGAGTGACCGGCAGGAATCGGCACGTCTCGAGGTTCCTTCTTCACTGCTTTTGCGCAAAAGAATTGACCCGTTTTTGAACGGATTTGTCACCTGTGATGAAAAATGGATCATGTATGATAACAGGAGACGTTCCGGACAGTGGTTGGATTTGCGAGAACACCGAGGTAATTTTCAAAGCCGAACCCTCGCGAAAAAAAAAATTCTGGTCAGGTTTGGTGGTCATCGGCTGTTGTAATCCACTATAACTTTTCATCACCAGGCCAAACCATCACAGCAGAACCCTACTGTGAACAAACCGACCAAATGTACCGAAAATATTGTCAGCTGCAGCCAACACTTATCAAAAGAAAGGGTCCGATTCTTTTGCATGACAACGCCCGCCCACACGTTTCACAAATCACTATCCATAAATTGAACGAATTGGGAGTTGAAGTTCTACCTCACCCACCATATTCTCTAGACCTTTCACCAACCGACTGTCACCTTTTCAGACATTTTCAGAACTTTCCTGCTGAGAAATACTTCATCAAACAGGACCAGGCAAAAAAGACCTTCGCAGATTTCGTGGATTCTCGACCACCCAGTTTTTTCTTTGATGGGATTTCTCGACTGCTGCCACATTGGCAAAAGTGTGCTGATTCGAATGGTGCTTATTTGGATTAAATCCGATGAGTGTTAAGAAAGTTATGATCGTTTAAAGTTAAACACCCAAAACGCTAAGAACTTTCCGGACAACCTAATAGTTAGAGAAGAGACAACCGCTGAATGCTGCCGCTGATGCTCTCACCATCACAGCAAAGCGAACGTTAGACGTGAAAAATTTCACTTATTTATTTATGCATACAGCGACGCGCCAAGTTAACAGCAGGTGACGAAGCAATCGAACAACAACACGAGATAAGAGAGAAAGACAAAAATAGGCAAATGATAAAAGGTTAAGAAAACTTTTTGATAAAAAACTTACAGAACGGTAAAGTGAAAGGAAAGCGAGTAATCAAAACAGTACTGAAACTGTGGAGGTGACCCCAGAAAGGAACGAAACCTTGCAGAGACATTTAAGGAAAAGCCTCGTTGGTCAATCAGCAACTATGAAATGAAGAGCAATAACGTAGCGACAGTCTTAAAACACATTTTTACAATAGCCATGAGCTACCGCCGCTAGAAGAATGCTATCATGTACAATCTCAGATGGAGTAGAAGCTGGCCGAAGCTACAACGCCTATACCCAACTGGCCAGGTGCCGCTTAGCGCCACAACTGTCGACCGCCGTCATGGGAGTTTGCGGCGTTCTCCGAAACCACGAGTATGCCAGTTGCTCGTATACCGGGACCAAGCAGCGAGCTCTGGCTAGTTCCAGACCATCGCACGAAAGTACCATTGCAAAACAGCATCCGATAAGGATCTGAAGATATAAATCCAGACATAACGACGTAGGAGCCGAAGAAAAAAAATCGAAAAATCTGCTCCTCAGTCAGGAGGCTTCTTGTCCAAGAAGACCGAAATACATTGTCGCCACGAAGGAAGTAACTCAATCCTATTGGAGTGACCTACCCTCTACCGTACATCATCGAGACTCTAAGAGGTCACATTTTATGGGTTGCCTTTTGAAATGGACCGAATCCCTGCACTCAAAGAACGAGGAAGGGCAGATGCGATATCCAACGAGTTGTGCGCAGAATGAAACTGTTGTGCCTGAGCTGCCTGTGGTGTTTGCCGATCTTGTGCCCAAACATTTGAAAACATACCTCGACGTCCATTCGTAGGCGGGAAAACCCAAAATTCCAACGGGCGGAGACGCAGTTCACCTTTAAGTAATTTAAAAGCAGAAGCTAAGCCCGCAACAACCCTTTTGTGGAAAAGACTCTTCAAGTTCAGTTCATGAAAACGAAGCTCATAGTGGTGGTAACGTTTGCGGATAAGTTGAGTTGGGAAGACCTTGTAATACAGAAATTCTAGTGAATGTCTTTTGCACTGATTCGAGCTTCCGAATGTCTTTCACAAGAAATGGGTTCCAAACCGGGCTACAATACTCCACGATGGGGAGTATATACGATTTGTAGAGTCTTATCCATAGTTTAAGCTCAGTGCAATGAATATTTCTGAATAAAAGGTAGACCAACCTTAGTGCTTTGTTACTAATTTCTTGAACATGTTCGCTCCAACTCAGCTTCCTCGAAAGCTTGACCCTAAGTCTTTTACCTGCTCGCTATGTCGTAAAGGGGTCTTGTTCGGAAAGACAATATCTAGCGCCTTAGTGCCTAGGGAAAACAGCGCCGTTTTATTGTAGTTTATTTCGAGACCCCAGCACTCCGCCCACGTGAGCATTTTTTCAACGACTTTGTTCAGAGCTAGCTGTGCCTCAGATCTGCCGAGCTCCTCATAAGTTATCGCCACTTTTACATCGTCAGCAAAACAAGCCACGGATATTTTGCTGTCACTTTTGAGGAAATTGGGCAGATCATACGTGTAAATGAGGAAGAGGAGAGGTGACAGGATGCCCCCCTGGGGGACCCCAGAGGTGCATTCTCTCACTGTTGGTAGGCACCCAAAACGGACATTCATCTTCCAGCCATTTAGGTAAGACTCGAACCATTTCAAAGCCATATTTCTAACTCCAATGGACTCTAAGCCTTTGCCAGTAACTTGGAATGGCACACCTTGTCGAACGCTTTACTCATATCAACATATTCAAGGCTTCTGTCCACGAGTGCGTACAGTCCATTAGTTGCGTACACGTGGACGCACCGGGAAGGAAGCCGTGCTGTTCAGTGGGGATCAGCTGAAGTTTCGAAACCCAATGCAGAAGCTTCTTCTTTCACTATCTTCTCCATTATTTTCAGCGGGGTCGGTAAGACACTTATAGGCTCAAAGTTTGATATGAGATTGCAGTTGCTAACTTTTGTGGGTGTAATGAAGGAATTTTTCCAAACGCTAGGAACTTCACCAAGAAGGAGACAAATATTGAGTATATGAGCAAGGGGGATAGCCAGATAATCGGAGAACTCTTTGTAGAACACTTGGGGTATGCCATCAGCTGTAGGGGACACAGGACCGTTTCAAAGATCGAAGATGTTTAAGCACTATGTGAGGAGCGACTATTGGCATTTCAAACCATTCTAGAGACTGATGGCAAAGATGGCATACTGCTGCTTGCCTGTTCCAAATACACTAGGCAAAGTAGCCTGCGATAGCTTCAGCTTTGGAAGCATCAGTTGAATACTTGACCCATCGGAATCTACCAGACTATGAGATATTAGGTTGTTGCATAAGTTTTCCCCCTGTTTTGATCCTTCCATATTTCGTTTGCATGGAGGTTGGTATTTTGTCATCACATGTGGCGTTGAGGTGCTACATGTTTAACTGCCTTTCACTGCAATTGCTATCAACAATGCCACCTGCATTTGGCAGTCTACACCCGAACGCAGACACACAATTACGGAGTGCACAACCATGTCACAGTGGTGATTGTCCCGGCGGCATGTGGCCTTCTTTCGTGGTCCGAGCCGCCGTCCTTCTGGAACGAAGATGGAATACTGACAAGCTGCCTCAGCGTTGGCGTCGAGTAGTGGATGGTGATGGTGCATACCTCTAATCTTCAGGTTGGTTCGCTATTGAGATATTTACAAAAAAGTCGGGGAAAAGAACTTATGCAACATTTCAATACGTGCGAACTACACTTCATTTCTTTGATAAATTGTCTGAAGTTTCTTTCATATGGCTTACTTTCAGTCACATTTTTCTTGGCTTTGTATGGCTAGGTGAATGCTTTCACATGAAAATATAGTTTACGTCGAACCTATAAAAAATGGCGGTTCGTAAGACGCTTGCTTGGAAGAATATAGCAGCCTTTCACGTTGCTCGAAAAGATTGATGATATGCTTCGTACCGACTGATTGTGTATTTCTCGAAATATTTAATGGGAACGTGCCGAGAAGTATGCGCATGATGCACAAGAACGGTTATACTCATGTCGGCATAGCGTAATGCAGAATTGCCTAGCTTTTCCCTTTTTCTGCGTGCAAGACATCAGTGAACAGTGTCAATTTTTTTTGAAAGCTGCATTCAGATATACTAAATGAAATCATTCATGGTCTGAGCTCGCAAAAGGTGCACAAGAAGAAATATCGGAAATGGAATTACTGTCTGATAAAATGATGTCAAGAATTTTGCTCCCTCTACTGGAAAAGTCACCATTTGCTGTAAGGGGGACTATCAAAAGTACCAAGAAACTTTTGCGCTTCGGAGTTAAGCCACGTGTGAGCACCAGTCAATATTTAAGTTGAATTTTTCTAGAACTGCCACGTTATGCAGTGAGGTCGAAACCAAGTCAGAAATCACTGTAATTAACTGTTGATCTTGAGGTATGGTAAACTGTGGGGGGGCGATACATAAGGAGAAATCTGTGATTGCGAGAGGACAGGAGAGGCAATAAAACATCAAAGCAAAGAACGTCTGCGCTAAGAACTCCACAGTCGAATTCATTTTTCTCATCTAAGGAAAGAGTGAGAAGAGCACATACGTGCCTGCCCCAGTTTTTCCACTTATCTTTGCGAATTACTGAGTATGGGAAGACTGAGCAGAGTTTGGAGTCAGTAATTTTACTACTTAACCAAGTCTCCGTAATAAAAATCATACTGGGCTTACAAGTTCCTATGAGACTGCGAAGGTCATGGATCTTATTCTTTAGGCTACGAGCCTTAAACAAAAGACAAAATAAAGAAGAATTTCGCGAATATGCTAGTATTCCGACAACACGGGAGCACTGTTTCGATTTTTGGCTAATTAATTTTAGAATGTCCTTTACCTTCACAAGTTCGCCTCGGTAAATAACATCAACTCGCTCACCTTCTTTCCTGTTGTTCGCGTGCTCTATCCTGCAGATCGCGGTCCTTCTTACGCTCATCAATAGTCATTGATTTTCGTATATAGATATCTTTATATTCGTGCGTCGAGTGCAATCTGTGTGCCTTAGACAAAATGTCAAATGAAACACGACTGGAGTAAAAAATATAACAAGCCGAAGTTTTCCCCCACACTTTGACCCATCCGATACACTTCGGCAGGACTCAACATTGGGGAATCAAGCATTCCGGCGACAACCTTCTCCGTGTGTGCCTGGCGCGCAGATGGAGAAAGATCGCCCCTGACCTCCGGCTCACGCATAAAAACAAACGTGATCTGAAGCTTCTAATTACGATCCAGCAGCTTTCATTAATGATAAATGGTCCTAAAAGAGAAATGGTTCTAGAAGTTGGATGATTGGGCCGCTTCAGCAGGCCAATGCTATGGATTTTCCTCAATAGCGTGGTACCATCCTCATCAAATAGTGACGTGGGCACTAGATGACTGGACTCAGAGGCAGAGGGCGATGTGAGCCCATTCCCATTTCGAGTAGCAACGGTGGACATCGCAGATAAATTGATTATCCGACCGCTCACGGAGCACGCAGGCAGGTGAATGGATGAATGAATGAAAAAGTTCACGGAAGAACGACTGCGAAACCCCCCAGGGTTAATATGAACAGATCCGTCTTGTTTTTCCCTTTTCCTAAAGCTGCTAGGCGGCGGTACGGCGTACATACATCTCTCCATAGATGGAATGCGGTAGGCGTAGCTTTCTAGTTGAATTGAACGTGGCGGCTGCCATGGTTTTTGTGAGAGATTTTCGTTTTGGGACAGCTGTTATCAAGTCTTTGCTCAATACAGAAAAAGGTGAAGTTGTTTCAAATTGAAACATCTCACGGGTAAACCATTCTCAACCATGTTCAAATGCCACGCCTAACCCGTTTCAGGTATAACAAGTGTACCAGTGCGCTCAGATTCGTAGCCCAAAGTGAATCGTTGGCTATTGCTTGATAACTATGGTGGAAAATCATCAAAAGGACTAACCGTAGCGATCACAAAACAGAAAATTCTATAACATCCGAGTCTCTGTTGGCATTGAGTTACGGTATCAATGTTGAGAGTTACGGTATCAATGTTGTTACTTTTACAACTATAGAATTCAAGAAAAGCAATAAAGCAAGAAACTTTTCCATAGATCAAGGTTGTTCGGCCAAGCCGGTCTACTCTCCACCTAGTGTAAGAGAGTGCTTTCCAAGATTGAAAGTAAGAAAGGTTTATGTGATTGGTTAGCGGGTATGAGAAGTCAAGTACAACCACCCATTTCGGGTGTGTCTCCCCTACTGAGTCAGTCTGAAGAAACCCATTTCACTTGTTCCCCATCTCTGGGCCGCTCGCGAATTATAGATTTTTGTCCGCGGCGTCGCCAATTTTCGGCGCACGTTCCGCCCACTGTGGGCGGGGCTCAGCATAGTTCAAGTGTGCACATTGCTTCCTGTCCCATGTCTTACCCATGCATGCTCCGCCCACAACGGGAGTGCCTGGCACAATCCGACATGTGATCACTTGGAGACCATAATCTACTTTCTGCGCCATCTGTACTGCTTTAGGACCAAACTACGATTTTTAAAGTGTAGCTCGTGTTTAAATGCACGCCCCGCCCTGTGTCGGCGGGCCTCAGCGCGCCCACAGTGAGCGGAGCGTAAACATGTTGGACTCTTGCCAAATGTTCATCTTCGTCATGGACTCTTCTGCGATCTTTGGTTTTATTCAGGAACCGCAATTACCGACCTTTGTGGGAAGCACCGTCCATCTCAAAACGCCCCAACATTTGGTGTGTGTCTACTCCACTTGCTCTGCCAACCCAATGCTAACCTTATCGTCTCCGGGCTGCTTTGTAAGCAGATTACAGCTTTCTTCAGAGACACGGGACGCGCCTCCCATCTCAAGCACGCCCGCCCATTTCGGGGCGTTTCTCCACTATTTGGTCGGTCAGCCCTTTCTTACTCACGATCGCTCTCTCATCTCGACTTGCATGGAAGCCGAGTTTGATGGCTTTTTTCAGTGAAATCGCTAACTTTCAACGCACACTCCGCCCACTGTGGGCGGGGTAATTTGTGCCGTTTGGGTTTTGTTCCATGCTCTACCCATCCCCACCATGACCACCTTAAAGTTCTTCTTTAGGTGCTATGAATTTTCGTGACAGGCACAACATCCCACACACACACACACACCACACATCAGGAATGCCGGTATATATAGTAGGATAAGGATAGTGGGGGATTGTTTGTCAGAACTAAGATTACACACCCACCTTCTTTCGGCTGAGAACATGAGTTTGATTTGTAAACCAAACCATCCTACTATATATAATGCGCTAAGTATGTCCGTGTGTGCGTATGTGTGTCACAAAACACGCAAAAAATACAGTCGTGGCGTCCCTATAAGAGTACAGACTTTTTCGTTCAAAGATAATGATATCGGTATGCTTACAGAACATTATTGATGGGGACAGGAAGCGATGTATCAGCTGATAAAACCCGATAAGAACCGTCATAAGAGAAGAGTCGATGAGGCCAAAGCACGGGTCACAGCAGTAGTTGGAACGTTAGTTCCATGGTATGATATAATGAGACAATAATGGGATAGGACAGGAATATTTTTTGGTATGTGACAAAACTGCTAGCAGCTGGTAGGATTCGATAAGAGAGGTTAAAATGGGAAGGCCATCATAATCATACGCGAGACAGCATCGGATAGGCGTGGTTCCAGCAAGTGATATAGAGGGGTACGTGGGGAGAACGACGGTGGGTAACAGACAGTGATAACAACTGATAGGGGCTGATAAAGAACCTTTGTCGTTGTTGTTTAGTGGAACTGCTAGACAGGGCGCATCATTGGCTGGGGGTTTTGGGCGGGTGGCGAGTCCGCGTCCCCCCCCTCTCTGGAAGGTGGATCGCTATTACGCCCCTCCCTCTCCTTCTAAGGTTTGCTGTTTTTTCGCCTTCGAACTTGCGTTTTCTTCCAACACCTACGTCGAAGAAAACCAGTGCCAAGTAAAAATTTTTCCCCTGGCTTCTGGGCACCTTCCACCACTAAACATCACCCAGCCAAAGGATTTCTGTACTACTGTGAAATATACAGGGGGGGGGGCAAAAAAAGACATTTCGACCGAGTCACATATCAGCAAAGTTTTCGCAGCCCAGACAGAGAACGGGGATACGAGTACCAGGGCGGAAGATACCCAAGATGTTCCTCTATAAGCAGGAGCTGGCGCTCGCCCATCACCTTGATGTACACCAAAATATGAAGTCATCTCCAGCGGCAACCTGACTGGAGAAGACCTTCGGAATTCATGTCACCTCCGAACAGCTGCGAAACTTCTTGTATGGAGTCACCCATGGATAGCTACCTGGAGATCAGTACTATCGATCTGGAAGACCCCTAACATCAAGCAGCTCCGCAACGTCGCTACGGTCCAGGACATCATCTTCACCTCAGTCGCCAAGGCGCGGGTTGATGGTATGGACCGGACGTACCTGGAATGGAAGACCGATATTTTCTTCGTGGGCCCCGGACTAAAGGTGAGCGCTGGCGGTTACATCGAGCAACTGAAGAAGAATATCCTCCCCACATGTCGCCGCCCCTACCTTCCTGGAAACTTTGTACTGCTACAGCATTGGGTGCCACCACGTGGAATCGAAGGGCGTTGGAGAAACTCTCGCCTACTTGGAAAGGAAGGGGGCTGAGTACCTGAGGAAGGTGGAATATCTAAGCAGGTAACCTGAACTAAACCCCATCAATTACTTGGCTCGGGCGGAGTTAAATAGGGTGGTCTACAGTGGCGGAGAAATCAACGATCTCGCTGAACTCACGCACCCACTGACGGTCTCGTGGCAGAATCTCTCGATGGCGCTCCTCCAGAAGGCTGTGGCGGAGTATCATGATAGTATTTAATATGCTCTTTAATATGGTGGTAGAAGTGTCCGATAAGAATTTAATAAAGTGTAGTTATAGCGCCTCGAAAGTCGAGGAAGAAAAAAGTCTTTTTTTATGGCCCCGTGCGCCCCCTGTACATCCATAGGTTCACGAGAGAGGATCCCAGCAAAATTGCTCTCTCTATTCACAGGAATTTAGTTTAAATAAACTCCGGTGTTCTAATACACGTGTTATCCAGCTAACACGGAAAGCCATAAGGTTCCGAGTCAAAACAGGTGGAAAGTACGGAATTTATACCGATTATTCTTTATTTTGAACTGCACTGCTATGTTAACTGAGCGAAACAGGTATCCTATCTTCCTTTCGGAAACTCCTGGTGAGAAATACGTTGTGACCTGAAAGAGGGCTAACACGAGGATCCTACCTTTGATCGGCGCAAAATACTTAATTGGACTGGATTGTTGTAGAATGCTATGTTCATGGAATGTATTGAATGAAAATAGGTTGTCGGAGGAGTTGTGTCATATTCTTTAAACTAAAATGCTACATCTCCCACCCCTCCCTTTTCGTCCGC